CTTGTGATACTGTCTTCCTTTACTTAGCAATACATATTTATGATTTCTAAATGTCTTTGCTTGGTTTCATAACATTTCTTTTTATTATTGAATAATACTCCACTGTATTACTGTACCATTTTGTTCATTCATTCACCTCTTAAAGAACCTCTTGAAGAATTTTAGGTAACTATAAGTAAACTGTTATAAACATTCATGTGCAAGGTTTTGTGTGAGTATGTTTCTCAACTTATTTGGGTAAATATCTAGAAGCACAATTGCTGGATTGCATGGTAAGACTGTGTTTAACTTTGTTAGAAACTTCCAGATGATTTTACACATCTTGAACCTGAAAGCAGAGTTTGACCTCTTGACCTTAGCATGAATCTTAATTTTTCTCCCCTAAAACTTCTTGAAAATGTATTGGAATAAAATTTATGATAATATTGAACAGGAAAAGCCTTATTTTCTTTCTTTATAATAATGTAGAGAGAAATGGGGATACCATATTTAGGCATAAAAAGAACTTGTAAAATACAAAAGTACTAATCCTAACATAATCCTGTGCATAGAAGTATGATAATTTTATCACCATATCTTCATTTATTTTTCCTAAGTCACACATTAATAAATACTAAGCCATCACTGAATTGGAGTTTTTATCTTCTCTGAGATTTTTCACCCACAAACAAAAATATAGAGAAATAGAAAGATGAGATTTCAGCACAAGTCCATTACCTGTTTATGCTTGGTAGCTATTTGTATTATAACACTAAGATGGAAAAAAATATAACATTTCTTTAAATTATCAATCAAATAAAGATGCACTTCAAAACTTAAACTCTGGGAATAGCCATATGAGTGAGTTTTCAGTATTTTTTCTCTTATCCTTGGGTCATACCAGAATATAAGCTTTCAAAAAATCTAAAATAGGGGTAAAAGAGCCATATTATCTTTGCTTCAAGGTGATCTCAATTGCTGATGACCATGTCAGCAATGAGACCTGCATTAAGGCCCACGACCATGGCAGTTGGTGCTGACTATTCTCACACACCCGGAACTCAGTCCCTTCTGTGTGTACTCTGGAGAGCACACGTGAGTGCTATTTCTCCTCTTAGACCCAAAGATTGCAACCGCTCCTTGATTGGATCAGATCAATTACTTTGTGCAAGTGGAGTGTGTCTGTGTGTGTATGTGTGTGTGTGTGCACATGCATGCAAGTAAATGTATTTTCAAAAGAAATAATATCATTGTCAAAAACAGAAAACTAGCATGACTTACTGTAAGTAGAAAGTATTAAAAATACACAAATTTGAAACAAATTCCCGTTAGATACTGTTGTCCACTTTGAGATTAAGACCTGCTGTTTCTCTTTTTATTTTAAATATGAACAGAATTGAAGAACAGAATACAGAAACCAAGTTGGAAAAGTTGGAAAAATCATAACTATACAGATCAGTTTTTTCTTTTTTTTTTTGGAGACAGAGTTTTACTCTGTTGCCCAGGCTAGAGTGCCATGGTGTCAGCCTCGCTCACAGCAACCTCAAACTCCTGGGCTCAAGCAATTCTTCTGCCTCAGCCTCCAGAGCAGGTGGGACTACAGGCATGTGCCACCATGCCCAGCTAATTTTTTCTATATATTTTTAGTTGGCCAGTTAATTTCTTTCTATTTTTAGTAGAGACAGGGTCTCGCTCTTGCTCAGGCTGGTTTCAAACTCTTGACCTTGAGCAATGCACCAGCCTTGGCCTCTCAGAGTGCTAGGATTACAGCCGTGAGCTACTGCACCCGGCCCTACAGATCAGTTTTCACAAAATACATATGCTTGTGTAAACAATACCTATGTTAAACACCAAAATATTACCAGAGCCACAGAATTGCCTTAGTGCCAACAAGAGCGATTCCCATCTTTATTTCTAACACCACAGAAAAGTTTTTCCTGTTTGTGAGCATTGCATAAAGAACCTAGAATATACAAATAACTTTACTGATAAAAAATAAACAAAGTAAAAGCAGATAATCCGTTAGATAAATGGCCCAAAAACTTGAACCGACAGTTCAAGAAAGAACATATCCCAAGACCAATATACATGTAGAAAGTTGCTCTACTTCATCTGCTATTGGAGAAAGGCAAATGAAAACCAACATACAACTATTTCACGATGCTAGAACTGCTGACATGAAAAAACATACTGAAAATCGACAAGGATGAAGAATACCTGAATTTCTCATTTATTGTTCTTTGGGAGTGTAACTTGGTACACAACAGCTTTGAAAAACTATGTGGTAGTGTTGACTAAAGTTGAATGTATGCATAAGCCATGGTTTAGCAAAAGTACTAAAGATATGTATAAGGATGCAGTGGAATTCCATAGAGCAATGAGAATAATGAAAACATAACAACATACACAATAATGACATGCACAATAATAAGGATGAATCCCGTAAACAGGATACTGAATGAAAACTCAGACAAAAACTAATGCCAATGAACAGCATACATTTTCAGTTAAGTAGGTTGTAGGACAGAAAGTATATTAACTTCAAACAAACAAATAAGCAAAAAACCTTAGGTTTGAATTACAGCTCCACCACTTACTATTAATACTATATGACCTTGAAGACATATTTAATTTCCCTGGATCTATTTCAAATTTTTTTTTTTTTTTGAGACAGAGTATCACTCTTGCTGGTACTAGAGTGCAGTGACATCATTATAGCTCACTGCAACCTCAAACTCCTGGTTTCAAGCAATTCTCCTGCCTCAGCCTCCTGAGTAGCTCTGACTACAAGCACACCCCAGCTAATTTTCCTACTGTTTGCAGAGATGGTGTCTCCCTCTGCCTCAGGCTGTTCTCAAATTCCTGTCCTCAGGCAATCCTCCCATATCAGCCTCCCAGAGTGCTAGAATTATAGCCGTGAGCCACTAGGTGGCCTGTTTCTACAGGTCATCTACATTTTTATATAGGAATAATATTATAATATTATCTAGGCTGCCTACCCACTGGAATTCCTGTGACAATTGAGAAATTACATATGTTTGTAAATTTTAACATTATGGAGTGCTGAATAATGTTTTATATATATATATATATATATACACACACACATATATATATATTTCACTGGCATTTTTTCCTGCCTTCAAAATAAATAAAAGACACTTTTGTCTGCCTATAGATTGTGGGTATAAATAAGAAATATAAAGGAAATAAAACTCTAGTTTGGCTCAAAATTTTGAACAAAGTTAATGCTAAAAATTTGATCATTGTGACATTCAATAAAAGCATTGGCATTACAAGAAGGCCTATCTTCATTAATTGCTTGTGAATAAAATCAATAATATATAAACTTTGGTACAAATAAAACCTTGACATTGTAGACTAGTTGAACAATGAAACAGGAACTACAGCTATAAATTGAAAAGATTAATGGAGTAGCAATTATTAGGGAACAGGTACTGTAAGAAATTTCCCACCTGATGTAAGGAGGGGAAACTTATTCTGGTAACTTCAATAGTGATTCATTTTTATTCTTCATGAAACCTTACAAAATACTGTATGACGTTTCCATTAAACTATGTACAAAGGTGAACTCTCTCACAGCATTATGGTTCAGTTTATGCTGCACATTAGTGGTTTGTTCTTTTTCTTCTTTTCCTCATAGATATCTCAGGTAATTATTTATCAGGTCTAGAAAAATTAATGAAAATACTTTTTAAAGATTTGTAATATTTGTTACACATTCCACATTCTCAATGCTAATTTCAGTGAAGTCAACATATCCTGAAGTAGGATAATCATCTACTCTAAATATTTAAGAAAATGTCAATCTATGTTTTTAACACCTACCATATGTATGTGTCAAAAATCAATTATCATCTACTAACTAGTTAATTTGATGGAGATTATTACGAATTGATCCTGATAGATGTGGACTCGCTTTCTAATATCATAATATTTACGTTGTCAGCTAAGAATGGGAAAGATAATTATACAAAATCTGTTTTTTTTCCTTTATTTTCTATTTGCATTTGTATTCTAAGTTTGATAATGGAAATATTGGAACATTCCCACACAGTTACACTCTTGTGAAATAAAGAAAAAAATCCATGTACTTTTTATAAAATATAAAAACATGTATATTATATATATATATATATATATATATATAGTATATATATATTCCTCATTTTTGTTTGGTTTGTTAGCAGTAGTAGAAACTTAGTGGAATTGCTTTATATATTTGGATCTATTATGCATTGGCAAACCCCATGGTACTTGTGGCAGAATTAAGGGGGAAAATAGTTAAAAGAACATTTTTCCAAAATTAACTTCCAGATGTAACTCTAAAGGCAAGTGAAACTCCCAAACATAAAAGGAAAAGAAAATCACTAATAATAAAAGACTATTATTGTGAATAATCTGTTGGCATATTCTTCCCCTCACAATAATAGTGTCAAGTAGATTTGTGGGAATAAAAGAATACAGAAAATATATTATCATTAATAGCAAGGGATCATCACGGGTTAAATGCTTTCAGTGAGTGAAACGCCACATTCTACAACTCCGGAGATATGACTCACCATTCTTGCTGTTTCTAGAAGACGATGATTCATCGGGTTTCCTGACTTTACAAATAGAGAGAGAACATAAACTAAAGAAAGAGAAAGAAAGGGGGGAAAAAGATAGTTAAAAGCAATCACTGTATGTTACATTTTCACTGCATATTTATTTCTGCTAATGTAGTGTAGAAACTGATAGTGAAGAGGAATCAGATTATGGGTTTTACTCCTTGTGAGTTATACTTGAAAATCTGTTGTACTTTATCACTTCTGGAAAAACAAAGGTGGTAAATAAATAAAGAGGGGACAAAAATCTGTCCTCCCGTTTCTTTTCCTTTGTGCTGCAGGCTGAGTTGGTTTAGTGAGTAGTTGTGCAAGACTTGCTTCACTTTGTTTTTGGACAAAGCTGAGCCTTATGCTTCAAACAGAAGGCAGCCAATGACTAACTTCTGGTTGCTAGGTGTGGCCTCCTTTCAACTTCTATAAAATCAGAAGTCCCAGCACTGCTAGAGTGAAACCTTCGGAGAAGAATCTCTCTTTAGTTCTTTGGAAGAAGGTAGAAACACAGGTAAGGCTTGGGTTTCCTTTTAGTTCGTTTTGGTTGTTTTGAAAACTTTTCTCATCACTATGTTAAATGTTACTGCTTCTATAGCATTTATGGCTAGATGCATATATTATGTTTTGATAAATCTTTCTGTAGAATTACACCGAGTATTTTATATTTTAAGGTTTACAAATTTGTAATGTTTTGCTTTACTTAGTAAAGAAATATAATTTTTAAAATATTGTGAATTGGCTTAATACTCCCTCATTGTACAATTGGTGAGTTACCATGGAAAAGAAGGAAAGAATGTGTTTTTCTTCTGGTGGCCTTAAAAGAATGTGTTTTTCCTTTCCTTTCCTCCTCCTTGGAATGTGAGTTTCCAAGAGCTGTGTGTGTCTTACAGGGAAACCATGATGGGAGGGTGGGAGCTTGTGGGGGACCAGGAAAACAGAAGTGGCAGGGGTGGGTGGCAAGGAGCTGTTTCAAAATAGCAGGGCTTTCTGAATTTATTTTCCTCTGTTAGGAAAACTAAATAGATTCAGACCTCATAGTGGTAATCATGCCCTTTGTAATTAACATTTTGAAATTAATGTTATGTTTACTCATGCCGTTTAAAATAAGAAGGTCCGCTTATTACTTGTTTCATTTAAAGAGGGTGTGACCGCATTCCTTTTCCTGTAGGCTCTGTGTCATAGACAGGCTTTGCAAGTGCCTCGTTGAAAACCTAAAGAGAAAAGAAATATTTCCTGGGTGATGTTAGATATGTTATCTCATGGGAATGCCACTGGGGCCCTCTAAAAACTATTCTACTTGATTGTTGAATGGACTAATGGCCATAAAACTCCTTAGGAGAGCACAAAACAAATCTACAGAAGAGTTTTTAAGTGGTGTTGGATGGGTACATTTGCAAAAGTGAAAGATTATGAACCATAACCATATAACTGGCTATTGTTCCTTACAAATGTTCTTCCAAGGATTTTTCTCTTAGTCCTTTTAAAATGTTAATTAAACATTAAACTGATTTCTAAAGTTTAATACTAGCTAATTAAGATGTACTTTTTCTTGTCTTATTTATGCCTGAAAGTCTGTATGGACTTTGAAAAATAATGTTCCCTTGTTTCCACAGGAATGTATTTTGGGAACTATAAGACAAGGCACGTTGCAAATGAGTCAAATGTGGTAAAATGCTGGTTTCATAATTCTGCAATGGCCTCTTCTCCAGAAGTTTCTTACCACCCTAGCCCCAGCCTCAACCACATCTGGCAGACAGCCAACATTTGACTGCTGTTGACAAAACAATTAACAGTACCATTACTAAGGAACCAGTCAGAGTTTCACACTTATTAAATACTTTTTAAACCAAAAGTTCCACAAAGGTTATGTTCTGTATATGACATCAGCTGGCTGAGCTGGTTGTTCTTCATTCTCTCTAGACCATGTCATTCTCTCTATTTATGACATATTTAAAATCAGAGCTAAATCAATATATAAACCATAAACAGTTTTTGAAGTTAACTATTTCCTGTTCCTTTAAAATCAAATAGATTTTTATCAGGAAGATCAGAACACGTCTAATGTATATTATGCCTTCCTCCATTATGCTAATTTTCTTCATCTTTATCTACTTGAGGTGAAGTTTAAGATTAGTACTTCACAGCTGTAATGGATGTTAGGCATTATTTACTTAGACATTTTTATTTTATAACTGAAGACCCTCTGGAGAAGTTAAGTGTTTCCTTGAGTTCAGATTACCAGATAAAGAGAACCAAAGTGAGGTCCACAATAGTTAAATTCTTATTTTTATATCCCATAGTTGTGGCTTGAAGATGTTTGTTAAATTCATGGAGATATAGTTTCTAAAATAATAGCAACGATATACTAGTTATTAATTCAATAATCCTTATTAACATTCTAAATACCAGGCATTTAACCAGGGATTGAAGGTATATAATGAATAGTATTTTAGCACTGCTTTCATGCAATGCTCCTGGGGATAGAAATATGGCAATAGCAAGTGATAATGCAGAATGATCTAGCTGGTGTACTGGTACAGTCAGGATGCTTTGGCAGAGCATGGAAGGTTGCCAGATCCGATGCTGAGGAACTAATGAAGGCTTTCTGGGTAATGTGATGAGATCTATGCTGAGACCTCACTTAGAAGCAGCAATTAGTGAGGCAATGAGAAGTGAGTGTGGAGGAGACATGAGCATTCCGAGCAACGGGCACGCCCTGTCCAAAAGCCCAGAAGCAAAACATTAGTGAGGCTACCTCCCATAAATTGCTGTTTTATAAGTCATATAATTGTATAGTCGAATTGTCTACTCCTACAAGGAAAGGTGCAGGAAGGACTTGTGAAATGCATATTGAAGAAAAACTATGTACAAGGCAAAGCATTTAAAAATAAACTCCCCAGGGCTAGGGTGAAACCTGCCATAGTAATCATGGGTTTACTGTTAAAGAATTTGATTCCCAAGTGTAAGTTGTTAAAAATAACATTGATCTTGTCATTGTCATTTTGGTCACTAACTTAAAAGACTGTATAATGCTTTGGCATCAGAAAGCAAGGATGTATATCTTGATTCTTGCCACTACTAGCTGGGAGACTGCATAAAAGTTGCACTCAGTTTTTCCAAATAGAAAAGGGGCATGATGATGATAGGCAGTTATTCTATGCAAGGGCTAGTAGTTGCTGCTATTATAATTGTAAAACTCTCATAGTTCTAGATTGTAAGTGGAAGGTATAATAAACTACAAAACTCAGCTTCCTCTGTTGCAAATTCTGGAAATAGCCTTTCATGAGGCTGACAGAGATAGAAAAATTAAAGAGGGCTCTCTTAAGACACATAAGTATGTAAAAACTATAAATTTTTAGAAAGCTACACATTCAATTCACAGATAAACTGAGATTGGTAGCCAATGTATGTTTATAAAAAGATAATTAAAAAATTGTGGAATATTATTAATTTTCATATGTCGGCCCATTTATAAATGTCCACTTTCATCTTCAAATTAGCTGTTGATAAGCATTGAGATAAACTTCATTTTAGAGCTCAGTGGTAGCTAGTTGAAATCTACATTGAGCTAAAACAAGTCAATAGAATAGGCTCCTAAAAGCCTAGTGCAAGCTTTAACCATTACAAGAAAAAGTCAGAAGAAAAGAAAACCTTTTGTGCACTCACTGTGGTAGTCTGGTTTTCCTGCCGAGTATAGATATTAAACAGTCAGAATGGTTTAGCAATAAAATTTGTCCAAAATATTTTTTTGCCGTGGTATGTGCTAGATGTGTTACAACTATTCAGCAGTTCTGCTAATACATGCAGTTAGTTTTGGGCACTTACCTAGCAGGACATGATAAAATCTGTTTCCCTTAGAGCAATTTCTTACATCCTGCCACAATGCTTGTGTCATTAAACTTTGCTAAGAGTTAGTGGTGAATTTGGCTGAATTCCAAGTCCATTTTCCTCTAATTGATTTCCTGAGAAAGATTCTACACAGGCTGCTTTTCCTTACCAGATTGTGCTTTTAGGCCATCCAGATAATTCAGACTAAAATGCAGGAACTCAGAAGATGTAAGTCACACAGCTGTCTTAGAAAAGGACAAGCACTTGTTTCAAATAAATGGCTCAACTTCCTTATTTTTGTTATTTTGTATATTATATAGTTATATAGTTAATATAACAGTATCATTATTATTTTAGCCTTTCTCAGTTTATTTTTTTAAAGAATTTGGTCATTATACAAGTGCTTTTTAGAACTAAAAAACTAGTGAAGTACAGAAAAGTTTTCATAAACTTTATTTTGAAGTTGTAGGACTCACTTTTAATATTATATTTGACAGTATCTTTAGTCCTTGCTTTGCTCTCGTTTGAAGGTTTTCTTTGCTAATTGAAAAGAGCGAAATTAATTATTGAACATGTTTTTATAAGTGAGGGAGTTGCATTTTGCCAAGTGACCAATTATATCACTCATTTTGAAGATTCTACTTATCAAGGGCATAAATGAGATTATGAAAATGGAAATTTCAAATACATGAAACTTTACCAGAATTGCTTTGAAGTTTTGGGTGTAGCAATTAAGCAGCTGGAGTATGAAACTCTATGTGGCAACAGCAGTTGCACCAGATCAGACTGTAATGGGAAATAAAACTTTGTGCAAAATTGCACATCATGACTTTACCTCAGGAAACAACTTGAAATTTATCGATTACTGAGGGGAAGAGATTACTTTAAATGAATGCTCAAAGTATTGGTTCTTCTTACAGATGACAGAATAGTAATTTGAACAATCCCCGTGGTAATTAAGTGGAGATAGTTTCTGCTTTGGCTGTAATTTCCCTGATGCATTTAATCTTATTACTTGGAACTGCAGTTATTTTTTAGCAGGTGTGAATTGAGATACTTTGTCTGAACATGTTGCTAAGGAATCGGTTATGGGTTTTACTCTTCCTCCTCATGAGTCATTTAGGTTCCCATCAGGAATTTAAAACTGCAACATTATCTTTCCAACCATCCTCACAAGTATTCATGACAGTAGAGGGATCAAACAAAAGGATATGGAGAGAGAGATCTGTGAGGACCTTGGGCACAGGCTCTCAATAACATATTTCCAGATGAATAGGATCATTAATGGCTTTGTGTGTGTGCATGCGTGTGTCTAGAAAACAGACAACACATTAATTTGTAATATACTTCAGGTTTTAAAAATATATGTGTCTCATTAAATAAAAATGTTGTCAAACCAACTTAAGAAATTTCCTTTAAGATAGAGTTTGCCAAAACGGTAATGTATATTACAATTTCACCCCAATGCTTCCTGTTAGAACAAAAAACCTAGTATCAAATTATCCTTTTCCCAGTTTTTTGGTTTTTTTTTTGGTGTTGTGTAGAAAAACATGTAGGACTGATATTTAGACAGCTCAAATAGGAAGAAATGTGAGGATAGCAATTACTCCTAGTGCTGAAATAATTTTATACTAAGAAACAGAAAAGGAAACTGAATTATTTGGGAAGAGTTATCTCCCAGATATCATTTTACAGATAAAGTTTTGAATCTGAATCCCTCCTGCAGATTGTCAGCAACTATTTTACCTATATATGCAAATATTATGCCTTTTCTGTAGCCATTACTTTTCTTCAGGTCCTCATGAATGCTGCATGCATTCTGTAATGGCTGCTGAATGGGCTCTAATCTTCCATCTTGCCTGTCTCTTAGTAATTCTCCATGATACAGCAGGAATGATGTTTCTGAAATGGAAATCAAATCATGCTGCTTTCTTTTTAAAAACCCATCAATGTTTTCCCAAAGGTTCCAGCCCTGCCAACATCTCTTGCTCCAGCAAACTCCTTTCAGCTTCCCAAATATGACAAACTTCTCTCCATTTTGTTCTCTTTTAACTTTTCTGCCAGTTTAACCTTGACTCATTTCAAGGGAGGCTTCCCTCAGCCCAGGCCTCCTCTAAGAAGTTTCCTTAGCCTTTGTGTTTTCTCAGAACAGCACATACTAGCTCTAAATTCCTGAGGCAAAGGAGGATAGGATAGTTCACTCTTTTTTGTTCCCTCAGGGTTTTCCATATATTGGGTGGTCTGTAAATTGAGGACAACGAAGTGAAGGAAGACCAGCTCCTCTCTTTAGCCTATGTGCTTACTTGCAGCAGTTGTCTGATCTCTAAAGTTTAGGACTGAGTATGTCAAGAAGGAGCTCAGTTTCTGAGCAGCGCTCTGTGTTTCTTTTTAGGGGTAAAACACTCCTTTTAAAAAACTTATGTTTTGCAGTTTTTTATGCTCCTAAATGTAACCTTGGAAAGTAAGGGCAAGGCTATTTTATAATGCTGTGCCTTGTGTGTGTAAGATGGGGAGGTTTGTGTGGGGTGCATTAGTTTGTAAACCATCTATTAATTTTCTTTCCAGACACTTCTGTAAAAATGGCAATGGTATCAGAATTCCTCAAGCAGGCCTGGTTTATTGACAACGTAGAGCAGGAATACGTTGTAAGTAGAGTGATAATAAAATGATTCAATGATTACAGTATTAAAATAGAAATTACTATCAATGAATGACAATAATTTATTTCTCTCTGATCCTTAGACAACTGTGAAATCGTCCAAAGGTGGTCCTGGGTCAGCAGTGAGCCCCTATCCTGCCTTCGATCCATCTTCAGATGTTGCTGCCTTGCACAAAGCCATAACAGTTAAAGGTAATTGTGTTTCCTCAAAACAGGTACCTCTTGGACACTTCAGGATGGCTATTTGAATGACTATCAAAAATCAGATATGATCCCAGAATTAAAAGAGGAAGTAAAAAATAAAAACCAGATGTAAGCAATGGAAAGAGTCTGTTTCATTTTGAAAATAAAAAATATTTTTGGGGTTCAAATGAAAATATATTTCCCTCTTCAACACTCAGAAAATGTTGGGCAAATAAGTGGAATCTCTGTTGCTAAAACAGGTCTCCTTACCAGCTCATTTCTAGAGAAACTCAGTGCTGAAATCAACATCACTGCTCACAGAATTTGAAGTAGGATCAAACACTGCAACACTGAAGGCCAGGAAAAGTTAATTGCCTCTTCATTTCTCATTCAAATAAATGAAATATCATCCTAAGTGTTTCTTTGATATGTAGTATAGCATCTATTTCCTAGGCTGAAATAATTTATTAAATATATTTCTTAGTTTCTTAAGAAGTTCATTTGGACCATCTCAATAATGAATCATTTTCTGTCAATAGATGATAAAGAAAATTGGTATTAAAGGCTGGTGTCCCTTTATTTCTAGGTGTGGATGAAGCAACCATCATTGACATATTAACTAAGAGAAACAATGCACAGCGTCAACAGATCAAAGCAGCCTATCTCCAGGAAAAAGGAAAGGTATGTTAGGGTGCTAAATTTAAATATTTAATTTCAGTCATATTTATGCTTAAACATGGATTCTTGAGCACAGTTACATAATTCTTTCAGTTTATAACCACTGTTTTCCCATTACACCTAAGTCTGGGATTACAGTATTTATCCACTTTGTTGTAATTGAATCAATTTTATCAAATTTACCAGTTTCGTACATTGGTTGTCTTGGCATAAGTTCTTTGCAGATGTGGTATTCTGGAGGCAAATCTTTGATTTGAACATAAACATCAAGATTGCTATTGGCAATAAAGAATATGTTCTGATTGAAATGTATCTTCTACTAAAATTTAAATTGAGCTTTTTGTAATGCCTAAATATAAAGTGTATATATAATTCAACTTTAAAAATAAGTGCTATATCTTTCATACCAAATATGGGTAGTTGTTTTTAAGCAGTGCAATTAGAAAACTATATAATGTCAATATCTGATTACACTGCTTATTTGATAAGTGCAAACCTCAAAGATTGGAAACATTATTAATATATTACTTTAAAAGTAATTTTATTACTGTTTGCTGTTAACACACATACCCCTGTGTTTTGATCTTTGTTTTTTTCCCTCTGTAAAAGATTAAGAACCTTATCTTTAAGATGTTATCAATGAATTTAATAAATTTTATCCTATTCCTTCTAGATCTAAAAGATTAACACCACATTCTTAAATATCTAGTATAATTTTGTATGTGAAGGAAAAAAGTTCTAAAAGATGGTTGGGTTTAGGGATCAGTAGTAAAATGACCTACAAATTCAGGTAGTACAACATTGTATAACCTAACACAAGACTTATTAGAAGGCCTGATTCTATTCTTTTTTGGATAGCCCCTGGATGAAGCTCTGAAGAAAGCCCTTACAGGTCACCTCGAGGAAGTTGCTTTAGCTCTGCTAAAAACTCCAGCACGGTTTGACGCTGATGAACTCCGTGCTGCCATGAAGGTAAAACACTCGATTAAGCAAAATTCCTTTCCTTAAGAGAATGTATACGACAAGTTGCTTATGCCTACTATGGTATCTTCGAAATCAGTACAGTGCCTGTCAGTGGAAATTCAAAGAATGAATGAACCAATAATTCAATGAATTAATTAATAAATGCATGAAAACATAACACGCTCTTTATCATGACACTGTATGAATCATACACTGTATGAACCATACATCTGCATTTTCATATCCTTACTGTAAATATTTGCTATAAATGCATTTTTAAAGCAAAATATATTAACAAAGTTTATTGAGATTATTAAATATGGGAGGTGAAGTATACCAAATGACAGATTCAAACAAATTTGGGGATACAAAAACTAGTTGATCTTCTTGAAGGAAGATTTTTCTTCATTTCTATTTTTCTTCTCTTTCAATTCAGGGCCTTGGAACTGATGAAGACACACTGATTGAAATTTTGGCATCAAGAAATAACAAAGAAATCAGAGACATTAACAGAGCCTACAGAGAGGGTAAGTTGTAACATCCAACAGTACAAGTACCTTAGTTGGAAAGGAAGTTTGATACACTTTCTTAAAATTGAATGTGGATGTTAATTACGGGGACCTTGGAATTCCCACATATTAAAACGTTTATCATTTGGCACATGTCTATTGAGTGCACACACTGTTACCAGGGGACATTCAAGTTGCCAAAGTGGTGACAAGGGAGATTGTATCCCAATCCTCATCAAGTTTTCACTTTAATAGAAAACATTCTTCTATGACAAATGGCTACATATTATTATAATAGAAACCTCAATTCAGAGCATTGAATTTAAAGAATTTTTTCTAAAAAACATTTTTTATTATTTTAAAATGTATTTCATAAATTTTTTCCATTGTCTTTTATTTTGAAAAGAGCATATAGCAACAACAACAAAAATATCTCCAAACAAAATAGTCTTCATTTGTCCTTGAAAAGGTAAAAAGTTAGGTACTTATAATTCTCAGTTGGAAACTTTAACTTCACCATTATGAACATAAACAACTCATGTTCATGAGTTCATGTCTTACTAGAGATAAAATATCTCTAGTAAGATCCATGGCATGAAAGACCAAACATGGCTCATTTTATCTATTCAGTGAAACATCTCATTTAAATAATATGCTCAACACTGACAAGAGAGTAATTGCAAGTCTTTTACCATTATTTTTTCTCTAATTTCCCTGAGCCACACTGTCCTTTTTGCTTTCCCAACCCAATATGTGGCACCATAGAGGATCTTGACACTTGATTCTTATGCCAAGCATGGAAAATATTATATTGTTTTCAGAGTAATTTAGTAAAGGAATCAAAATAGGGGAGAGTTTTAACCTCATTTTCTGCAATCCTTATTTCGTTACCAGTGTTTATCTTAGAATCCTATCAGTGATAATAATCAAAAGGGGCATTATTATTAGTTTTCTGTTTGATAAAACATCATTTACAAAAGCAAATGTCCCTATTTCTTCATTATATCAAGATGTAGTCTAGTGACAGCTTATTAAATTCCCCTGTTTAAAGTTGTCTTAGTCCATTTGTGTTGCTACAAAAGAATACCAGAGGCTGGGTAATTTATAAAGAAAAGAGGTTTATGTGGCTCATGGTTCTGCAGAAGTACTGTTCAGGAAGCATGGCACTGGCATCTGCTTCTGGTGAGGGCCTCAGACTGCTCTCAGCTGTGGCAGGAAGCAAACAGGGGCAGGTGTGTGCGGAGGTCACATGGTGAAAGAGAGGAAGCAAGAGAGAGAGCAGAGGAGGTGCCAGGTTCTTTCCAACCACCACTTCTCTCAGGAACTAAAAGTGAGAATTCACTCCTGCAAGAAGGGCAACCAGCCATGCATGAGGCACCCTCTCCCATGATTCAAACACCTCTGGCCAGGCGTGGTGGCTCACGCCTGTAATCCTAGCACTCAGGGAGGCCAAGGCAGGAGGATTGCTCAAGGTAAGAAGTTCAAAACCAGCCTGAGCAAGAGTGAGACCCCATCTCTACTAAAAAATAGAAAGAAATTAATTGGCCAACTAAAAATATAGAAAAAATTAGCCGGGCATGGTGGCGCATGCCTGTAGTCCCAGCTACTCTGGAGGCTGAGGCAGAAGAATTGCTTGAGCCCAGAATTTTGAGGTTGCTGTGAGCTAGGCTGATGCCACAACACTCTAGCCTGGGCAACAGAATGAGACTCTTGTCTTAACAAAAAAATAAAAAAACACTTCCCACCAGGGCCTACCTCTAACATTGGGTATCAAATTTCAACATAAGACTTGGCTAGGCCAATATCCATAGCACTAGTCAATTATAAATTCAGTTAACTTTTATATTATAGCATTATTTTACATAGCTAAGTAGGAGTGTTTAGACACACACACACATATCATTGAACTGTATTACATATAAGATATTTATAGTTATTAAGGTAAATACATAATTTGTGTTCTAGCAAGTACCTCTGTTTTACTCTTTAAACAATTTTTTTTCATCCTATTGCTTAAATTCTGGCACATTGTATTTCAGAATTAATTATTTGGTAATATATAACTATGCAGTTCATTCTTATTAGCAAAGCCTTATGATTGTAAGTTTTCATTCACAGTATAATCTACATTTCTCCCATTGCCCTATAGAAAATCACCTGTGCCAATTTTTCTAATTTTTATTTAAAAATGATAATTTTTGAAATGTGTGTTCCATAAGTCATGGAACATTGTGACATTGTGAATTATAAGCCAATATAGAATGTCTGATATTATTATTTTCATCATTATTTATCACTAGTTTACTGCAAAATCTATTTTTCTCTTTTTCTCAGAACTGAAGAGAGATCTGGCCAAAGATATAACCTCAGACACATCTGGAGATTTCAGAAGGCTTTGCTTTCTCTTGCTAAGGTACAACTCAAAGACTTTAGGAAATGCTCTTCTTTTATGAGGGGCAACTCCTTGTTTTGTGTTGCTGTAGAGGAATACTTGTGGCTGGAAAATGTATAAGAAAAATGTTCATTTGGATCATGATTCTGATGGCTGGGATGCTCAAGATTGGCATCCACATCTCATGAGGGCCACAGGCTGCTTCCACCTGTAGCAGAAGGAGAAGGGCAGCAGCCTGTGCAGAGATCATAAAGCATGAGAGAAAGAAGAGAGAGATGGGGAGGTGCCAGGCTCTTCTTAACAACTGTGGGAATGAAGCAGAGAGAACTCACTCATCGAGGGAAGAGCATTAATCTCTTCATGAAGGATTCACTCCACAACCCAGATGCTTCCCATTAGGTCCCACTTTTAACATTGGGGATCCAATTTCAACATGGAGGGGACAAACATCCAAACCATTGCAAATAAAATCTAGAATGTGAGCTCTTCCTAGAAATGTATAATTGACTCTCTTTTTTCTCAAAGAATATTATTCATTTGATTTTAAGGGAATTAAGTAAATCATGTGATTACCTGCTAGAGAAAAGCTTATAATAGATGGGATTTCTTTCAGGGTGACCGAAGTGAGGATCTTGGTGTGAATGAGGACTTGGCTGATACGATGCCAGGGTAAGCAAGTGCTAACAAAATATTACTGCAGTCCATCTTTCTACCTTAGGTGTGTGGAGTTACCGCTTGATACCCTCCATGTGAAACAATCTAAGATCTTCTGAGAGACTCCTTAATGGTTCCTGAATGGGCACACCTGAATGGGGCACACTTTCTGTAGCCAAGAGAGAAAAATGTAGTCTTTTAAGTTTTCAATGACCGCCATTAATCTAAAACCAGAGAGGATTAAAGGAGAGCAATGAGAATTTGATGTGTTATTCTCAAGAATTGTTTTGTTGAAAAAACTCTGAATTTTCATTTTACCAGCTATTAGAAAGGGAAAACTAATTTTTTTATTAAGTGCATTGCAAGAGTGAGCACATCTAACATTCTATTAATAGTGAACACTGGAATGGTTTATAGATGTCAATTTATATTGTAAAAAATATTGCAATAGTATTATAGTATATATTATAATAACATTTAAATACACTGTTTTATATAATCTCAGTAAGTTTGCTGGTTATTGATATACCAATCCATTGTCAACATTAGAAAAATGCAATTTGAAGGGCTGGAATTTATTATTTATTTTTATTTTTTTGCTTTTGACAGAATCTCACTCTGTTTAGCTTGCTGTAACCTCCAAACTCTTGGGCTCAAGCGATCCTCTTGCTTCACCATCCTGAGTTGCTGGGAGTGCAATGCATACACACAATGCCTGGCTATTTTCTATTTTTAGTAGAGATAGGGTCTCACTCTTACTCAGCCTGGTCTCTAACTCCTGAGCTCAAGCAATCCTACCACCTTGCCCTCTCAGAATGCTAGGATTATAGTGTGAGCCACTGCACTTGGCCTGGAATTTTCTATTATCAGAAAAAACAGACAACTATTATTTGCACTATGCCTTCTCATGGAACAGTATTCTCTAGATAATTCATCACAGTGATTCAGTAAGGATGAAATTTATTGGTCCACTACCATCCACTTCACTATATCAGCATATTATCATGCACATAATATCATTCTTAATTTTTTGTTGAATAAATGCATATATGTCATTACCAGTTTGCTTGAAAAGTCCAAAATAACATTTATATAATTGGAAGTTAGATCATTTTAATAGAAATTGTGTAAACATATTAAAGAAAGAATTGACATTTGAATAATTGTCCATAATAAAAATATTTACCTTGTGACATTTCTGAATTGCTTTCTGTTGAAGACATATATTTATGGTCATTTAAATATATGCTCAACACTGACAAGAGAGTATTGCAAGTCCTTTTACCATTATTTTTTTCTAATTTCCCTGACCACACTGTCCTTTTTGCTTTCCCAACCCCAATATGTGGCACCATAGAGGATCTTGACACTTGATTCTTATGCCAAGCATGGAAAATATTAATTGTTCAGAGTAATTTAGTAAGGAATCAAAATAGGGGAGAGTGTTACCCATTTTCTGCAATCCTTATTTCGTTACCAGTGTTTATCTTAGAATCCTATCAGTGATAATAATCAAAGGGGGCATTATTATTAGTTTTCTGTTTGATAAAACATCATTTACAAAAGCAAATGTCCTATCTCTTCATTATATCAACGATGTAGTCTAGTGACAGCTTATTAATCCCTGTTTAAAGTTGTCTTAGTCATTTGTGTTGTTACAAAAGAATAAGAGAGCTGGTAATTTATAAAGAAAGAGTTTATGTGGCTCATGGTTCTGCAGAAGTACTGTTCAGGAAGCATGGCACTGGCATCTGCTTCTGGTGAGGCCTCAGACTGCTCTCAGCCCGTGGCAGGAAACAAACAGGGGCAGGTGTGTCGGAGGTCACATGGTGAGAGAGAGGAAGCAGAGAGAGAGCAGAGGAGGTGCAGTTCTTTGCAACACCACTTCTCCTCAGGAACTAAAAGTGAGAATTCACTTCTGCAAGAAGGGCAACCCAGCCAAGCAGGAGGCATCCTCTCCATGATTCAAACACCTCTGGCCAGGAGTGGTTGCTCACGCCTGTATCCTAGCACTCTGGGAGGCCAAGGCAGGAGGATTGCTCAAGGTAAGAAGTTCAAAACCAGCCTGAGCAAGAGTGAGACCCCATCTATACTAAAAAATAGAAAGAAATTAATTGGCAAATAAAAATATAGAAAAAATTACGGGCATGGTGGCGCATGCCTGTATCCCAGCTACTCTGGAGGCTGAGGCAGAAGAATTGCTTGAGCCCAGATTTTGAGTTGCTGTGAGCTGGCTGATGCCACAACACTCTAGCCTGGGCAACAGAGTGAACTCTTGTCTAACAAAAAAATAAAAAACACCTCCACCAGGGCCTACCTCTAACATTTGTATCAAATTTCACAATAAGACTTGGCTAGGCCAAATACTCCTTACCAGCTCATTTCTAGAGAAACTCAGTGCTGAAATCAACATCCTGCTCACAGAATTTGAAGTAGGATCAAACACTGCAACACTGAAGCCAGGAAAGTTAATTGCCTCTTCATTTCTCATTCAAATAAATGAAATGCCATCCTAAGTGTTTCTTTGATATGTAGTATAGCATCTATTTCCTAGGCTGAAATAATTTATAATATATTTCTTAGTTTCTTAAGAAGTTCATTTGGACCATCTCAATAATGAATCATTTTCTGTCAATAGATGATAAAGAAAATTGGTATTAAAGCTGGTGTCCCTTTATTTCTAGTGTGGATGAAGCAACCATCATTGACATATTAACTAAGAGAAACAATGCACAGCGTCAACAGATCAAAGCAGCCTATCTCCAGGAAAAAGGAAAGGTATGTTAGGGTGCTAAATTTAAATATTTAATTTCAGTCATATTTATGCTTAAACATGGATTCTTGAGCACAGTTCATAATTCTTTCAGTCTATAACCACTGTTTCCCATTACACCTAAGTCTGGAATTACAGTATTATCCACTTTGTTGTAATGAATCAATTTATCAAATTTACCAGTTTCGTACATTGGTTGTCTTGGCATAAGTTTCTTTGCAGATGTGGTATTCTGGAGGCAAATCTTTGATTTGAACATAAACATCAAGATTGCTATTGGCAATAAAGAATATGTTCTGATTGAAATGTATCTTCTACTAAAATTTAAATTGAGCTTTCTTAATGCCTAAATATAAAGTGTATATATAATTCAATTTAAAAATAAGTGCTATATCTTTCATACCAATATGGGTAGTTGTTTTAAGCAGTGCAATTAGAAAACTATATAATGTTAATATCTGATTACACTGCTTATTTGATAAGTGTAAACCTCAAAGATTGGAAACATTATTAATATATTACTTAAACATAATTTTATTACTGTTTGCTGTTACACACACCCCCCTGTGTTTTGATCTTTGTTTTTTTCCCTCTGTAAAAGATTAAGAACACTATCTTTAAGATGTTATCAATGAATTTAATAAATTTTATTCTATTCTTCTAGATCTAAAAGATTAACACCACATTCTTAAATATCTAGTATACTTTTGTATGTGAAGGAAAAAGTTCTAAAGATGGTTGGTTGGATCAGTAGTAAAATGACCTACAAATTCAGGTAGTACAACATTGTATACTAACACAAGACTTATTAGAAGGCCTGATTCTATTCTTTTTGGATAGCCCTGGATGAGCTCTGAAGAAAGCCCTTACAGGTCACCTCGAGGAAGTTGCTTTAGCTCTGCTAAAACTCCAGCACGGTTTGACGCTGATGAACCTCCGTGCTGCCATGAAGGTAAAACACCTGATTAGGCAAATTCCTTTCCTTAAGAGAATGTATACGACAAGTTGCTTATGCCTACTAGGTATCTTCGAAATCAGTACAGTGCCTGTCAGTGGAAATTCAAAGAATGAATGAACCAATAATTCAATGAATTAATTAATAAATGCATGAAACTATAACATCACTCTTTATCATGACACTGTATGAATCATACACTGTATGAACCATACATCTGCATTTTCATATCCTTACTGTAAATATTTGCTATAAATGCATTTTTAAAGCAAATATATTAACAAAGTTTATTGAGATTATTAAATATGGGAGGTGAAGTATACCAAATGACAGATTCAAACAAATTTGGGGATACAAAAACTAGTTGATCTTCTTGAAGGAAGATTTTTCTTCATTTCTATTTTTCTTCTCTTTCAATTCAGGGCCTTGGAACTGATGAAGACACACTGATTGAAATTTTGGCATCAAGAATAACAAAGAAATCAGAGACATTAACAGAGCCTACAGAGAGGGTAAGTTGTAACATCCAACAGTACAAGTACCTTAGTTGGAAAGGAAGTTTGATACACTTTCTTAAAATTGAAGTGGATGTTAATTAGGGGACTTTGGAATTCCTACATATTAAAACGTTTATTATTTGGCACATGTCTATTGAGTGCACACTGTTACCAGGGGACATTCAAGTTGCCAAAGTGGTGACAGGGAGATTGTATCCAATCCTCATCAAGTTTCACTTTAATAGAAAACATTCTTCTATGACAAATGGCTACATATTTATTATAATAGAAACCTCAATTCAGAGCATTGAATTTAAAGAATTTTTCTAAAAAACATTTTTATTATTTAAAATGTATTTCATAAATTTTTTCCATTGTTTTTATTTTGAAAAGAGTATATAGCAACAAAAAAAAATATCTCCAAAAAATAGTCTTCATTTGTCCTTGAAAAGGTAAAAAGTTAGGTACTTATAATTCTCAGTTGGAAACTTTAACTTCACCATTATGAACATAAACAACTCATGTTCTGAGTTCATTCTTACTAGAGATAATATCTCTAGTAAGATCCATGGCATGAAAGACAAACATGGCTCATTTTATCTATTCAGTGAAACATCTCATTTAAATAATATGCTCAACACTGACAAGAGAGTAATTGCAAGTCTTTTACCATTATTTTTCTCTAATTCCCTGAGCCACACTGTCCTTTTTGCTTTCCCAACCCAATATGTGGCACCATAGAGGATCTTGACACTTGATTCTTATGCCAAGCATGGAAAATATTATATTGTTTTCAGAGTAATTTAGTAAAGGAATCAAAAGGGGAGAGTTTAACTCATTTTCTGCAATCCTTATTTCGTTACCAGTGTTTATCTTAGAATCCTATCAGTGATAATAATCAAAAGGGCATTATATTAGTTTTCTGTTTGATAAAACATCATTTACAAAAGCAAATCCCTATCTCTTCATTATATCAAGATGTAGTCTAGTGACAGCTTATTAAATTCCCCTGTTTAAAGTTGTCTTAGTCCATTTGTGTTGTTACAAAAGAATACCAGAGGCTGGGTAATTTATAAAGAAAAGAGGTTTATGTGGCTCATGGTTCTGCAGAAGTACTGTTCAGGAAGCATGGCACTGGCATCTGCTTCTGGTGAGGGCCTCAGACTGCTCTCAGCCGTGGCAGGAAGCAAACAGGGGCAGGTGTGTGCGGAGGTCACATGGTGAGAGAGAGGAAGCAAGAGAGAGAGCAGAGGAGGTGCCAGGTTCTTTGCAACCACCACTTCTCTCAGGAACTAAAAGTGAGAATTCACTCCTGCAAGAAGGGCAACCAGCCATGCATGAGGCATCCTCTCCCATGATTCAAACACCTCTGGCCAGGAGTGGTTGCTCACGCCTGTAATCCTAGCACTCTGGGAGGCCAAGGCAGGAGGATTGCTCAAGGTAAGGAGTTCAAAACCAGCCTGAGCAAGAGTGAGACCTCATCTCTACTAAAAAATAGAAAGAAATTAATTGGCCAACTAAAAATATAGAAAAAATTAGCTGGGCATGGTGGCGCATGCCTGTAGTCCCAGCTACTCTGGAGGCTGAGGCAGAAGAATTCCTTGAGCCCAGAATTTTGAGGTTGCTGTGAGCTAGGCTGATGCCACGGCACTCTAGCCTGTGCAACAGAGTGAGACTCTTGTCTTAACAAAAAAATAAAAAAACACCTCCCACCAGGGCCTACCTCTAACATTGGGTATCAAATTTCAACATAAGACTTGGCTAGGCCAAATATCCATAGCACTAGTCAATTATAAATTCAGTTAACTGTTTTATATTATAGCATTATTTTACATAGCTAAGTAGGAGTGTTTAGACACACACACACATATCATTGAACTGTATTACATATAAGATATTTATAGTTATTAAGGTAAATACATAATTTGTGTTCTAGCAAGTACCTCTGTTTTACTCTTTTAAACAATTTTTTTTTCATCCTATTGCTTAAATTCTGGCACATTGTATTTCAGAATTAATTATTTGGTAATATATAACTATGCAGTTCATTCTTATTAGCAAAAGCCTTATGATTGTAAGTTTTCATTCACAGTATAATCTACATTTCTCCCATTGCCCCATAGAAAAATCACCTGTGCCAATTTTTCTAATTTTTATTTAAAAATGATAATATTTTGAAATGTGTGTTCCCTAAGTCATGGAACATTGTGACATTGTGAATTATAAGCCAATATAGAATGTCTGATATTATTATTTTCATCATTATTTATCACTAGTTTACTGCAAAATCTATTTTTCTCTTTTTCTCAGAACTGAAGAGAGATCTGGCCAAAGATATAACCTCAGACACATCTGGAGATTTCCAGAAGGCTTTGCTTTCTCTTGCTAAGGTACAACTCAAAGACTTTAGGAAATGCCTCTTCTTTTATGAGGGGCAACATCCTTGTTTTGTGTTGCTGTAGAGGAATACTTGTGGCTGGAAAATGTATAAAGAAAAAATGTTCATTTGGATCATGATTCTGATGGCTGGGATGCTCAAGATTGGGCATCCACATCTCATGAGGGCCACAGGTTGCTTCCACCTGTAGCAGAAGGAGAAGGGCAGCAGCCTGTGCAGAGATCATAAAGCATGAGAGAAAGAAGAGAGAGATGGGGAGGTGCCAGGCTCTTCTTAACAACTGTGGGAATGAACAGAGAGAGAACTCACTCATCGAGGGAGAGCATTAATCTCTTCATGAAGGATTCACTCCACAACCCAGATGCTTCCCATTAGGTCCCACTTTTAACATTGGGGATCCAATTTCAACATGAGATCTGGAGGGGACAAACATCCAAACCATTGCAAATAAAATCTAGAATGTGAGCTCTTCCTAGAAATGTATAATTGACTCTCTTTTTCTCAAAGAATATTATTCATTTGATTTTAAGGGAATTAAGTAAATCATGTGATTACCTGCTAGAGAAAAGCTTATAATAGATGGGATTTCTTTCAGGGTGACCGAAGTGAGGATCTTGGTGTGAATGAGGACTTGGCTGATACCGATGCCAGGGTAAGCAAGTGCTAACAAAATATTACCGCAGTCCATCTTTCTACCTTAGGTGTGTGGAGTTACCGCTTGATACCCTCCATGTGAAAACAAATCTAAGATCTTCTGAGAGACTCCTTAATGGTTACCTGAATGGGGCACACCTGAATGGGGCACACCTTTCTGTAGCCCAAGAGAGAAAAATGTAGTCTTTTAAGTTTTCAATGACCTGCATTAATCATAAAACCAGAGAGGATTAAAGGAGAGCAATGAGAATTTGATGTGTTATTCTCAAGAATTGTTTTGTTGAAAAAACTCTGAATTTTCATTTTACCAGCTATTAGAAAGGGAAAACTAATTTTTTTATTAAGTGCATTGCAATGAGTGAGCACATCTAACATTCTATTAATAGTGAACACTGGAATGGTTTATAGATGTCAATTTATATTGTAAAAATATTGCAATAGTATTATAGTAATATAAATTATAATAACACATTTAAATACACTGTTTTATATAATCTCAGTAAGTTTGCTGGTTATTGATATACCAATCCATTGTCAACATTAGAAAAATCATGCCATTTGAAGGGCTGGAATTTATTTATTTATTTATTTATTTATTTATTTTTGCTTTTGACAGAATCTCACTCTGTTATAGCTTGCTATAACCTCAAACTCTTGGGCTCAAGCAATCCTCTTGCTTCACCATCCTGAGTTGCTGGGAATGCATGCATACATCACAATGCCTGGCTAATTTTTCTATTTTTAGTAGAGATAGGGTCTCACTCTTACTCAGCCTGGTCTCTAACTCCTGAGCTCAAGCAATCCTACCACCTTGCCCTCTCAGAATGCTAGGATTATAAGTGTGAGCCACTGCACTTGGCCTGGAATTTTTATTATCAGAAAAAACAGACAACTATTATTTGCACTATGCCTTCCTCATGGAACAGTATTCTCTAGATAAATTCATCACAGTGATTCAGTAAGGATGGAAATTTATTGGTCCACTACCATCCACTTCACTATATCAGCATATTATCATGCACATAATAGCATTCATTAACTTTTTGTTGAATAAATGCATATATGTCATTACCAGTTTGCTTGAAAAGTCCAAAATAACATTTTATATACATTGGAAGTTAGATCATTTTAATAGAAATTGTGTAAACATATTAAAGAACAAGAATTGACATTTGAATAATTGTCCATAATAAAAAATATTTACTTGTGACATTTCTGAATTGCTTTCTGTTTGAAGACATATATTTATGGAGGCTACAAAGTTTGATTTGACCCAGGAGGAAGATGGTAATTAACATTTCAAAGTGAAGTGCATGCTGACAACAATAAGGCAGGGATTATCTTGTTCATGTACAAAAGAGAAAAATCTGTAGTTTAGAAAAGTTAAATTATTTGTCTAAGATTACATAGCTTTGAAGTTCCCAAGTCAAAATTTGAATCCAGAAATTCTAACATCAAAATTCAAGATCTAGGTTATGGTTGAATTATTAATTTATTAGTACCATTTGCTGATAATTAAACAATAAAGAGTAAAAAAATTTTTTTCAAGATTCTCTTGGACTTGTCTTTATATATAGCATAATCTTAAAAATCTTAAAGCAATTTAGTTCTGCAAACATTTCTTTTGCAAACACATTTTCAGTCTCCAGTGTTCACAAGGCACCTTGAGAGATACCTTGGAAGATACTTGACAAACAAAATAAGGTCCCTATCTTTAAAGAATTTATAATCTTATTGTTGCCTACTCTGATTGTATTGGGCACAGAAGAGCTGCCTAGAAAATCTTTGACAAGATCTAACATTCCTGTGCAGATATCATTTCAACAGATAGTCAAGTGTTTATTTTTATGTTCATTGACAGGCCTTATATGAAGCAGGAGAAAGGAGAAAGGGGACGGATGTGAATGTGTTCAATACCATTCTTACCACCAGGAGCTATCCCCATCTTCGCAGAGGTAACACAAAATTTTTGTTTCTAGAACCTCTTTATAGAAGATGCAATTTTCTTTTCTGAGGACAAATAAGAGAAAGGGAAGAGATAAGTTTTTATCAGTGTTACTCTTATATCAAATGGGTGTAGTATGCCTGACTCATTATTGTTATTTGTCCATTTGTCTAACTGTAGAACCATCATTTTATAGTATTTGAAACACATTTTGTGACTTTGGCATGTGAGACATCATTTCATTATTTTCACTGCTTTTATTCCTCCAAAGGATTTGGAATAAATGCAAAAAAGACACATATGACAGAACAAATGAAATTACAATGAAGAAAAACAAACAAAATCGATAAAGCAAAGAGAATGTAGGTGCTACAGAACAAAAACATAAAAACAAAACAAAACAAAATTCAAGTGTTCTGATGTTTGACCACAATATTTAGCTCTGAGCTTCTTGGAAGCAAAAGTCCTGATGATTACCTAAAGCCATTGTTGTATAATAGTACACTGATTTCTAATGCTAAACTTAAGATAAATTTATTCCACAGATCTTATATAGGGGAGATCCATTTGCTATGGCACTTAGCACTGCTGTAGTATGTGCTATGGTTGTCAATCACATGCCATTTCTAATAACTGTCAACAACACTTGCAAACATTTCCCCAAAATACACAAGAACACCAAAATGGCCACATGAGTTACATTCCTAGAAGAAGGTGAAGTATCTTATGCTTATCATGCTTATCAAGTATCATGTTATGCTTAGTTGTATAAATAGCTTTAAAAAGTATAACTGAAGTTATCACCCCAAGGAATTCTTTGAGTCAGTTGTGCACATTTTGCTAAAGCTTGCTAAAAAATAGAATGTTTTTTACATCTCTAATTTTAAATTTAATGTTCAGTATTTCAGAAATACACCAAGTACAGTAAGCATGACATGAACAAAGTTCTGGACCTGGAAATGAAAGGTGACATTGAGAAATGCCTCACAGCCATTGGTATGTAGTCTTGGAGCTGGAAGAGTTTTCTAACTAGAAATTGTGTTTTCAAGGCTGCCCCATATAACATATATATATGAAAACAAAACAAAAAACAAGCCATCAGAGATGGTACATCTATGTTTCAGGTAGAAGCAACATGTAAGATTGGCAAAAAAGTATGATAACCTTCTTCATAACAACAGATATTATTCCGCTTTTCAAAAATATGGAGAGGAGAAATAGTTATTGAGCACCTACCTATGCCAAGCTGGGCATATCACAGAGGCAATTCAGAATGGTCATTAAGAGCCTGGGATTTAAAATTAGACAAATGTAACTTCAGGTACTGGTCTGCCACTTGTTAGTTTTGTTATCTTGGGCAAGTCCAGAAGAGTCTCTGATTCAGTAGGTCCTGGTTGGCTTCTGAAAATCTATACTTTTTAAAGATTTCCCAGGTTATTTAGACAACCATCAAAGTTGGGGAATTTATGTTCTCAAATAGTGTTTCTCAAACATTACCATGCACATGAATCCCCTGGAAATCTTGTTACAGTGCACATTTTGATTCAGTAGGCCTGGGATGGGGCCTGGTTTCTGCATTTCTAATAAGTTCCCAGTTGGTGCCATGGATGCCACTTCGAATAACGAGATAACCCTACAACTTGACATGTGTTAGAATTTTATATGAGTGGTGCCTTATATGTAAGCCTGTCCTATCCCAGGGTAGCTTTTTTTTTAATGTTCTTACTACAACATGAAGAAAGTATTTATTTGTATAGCCTTTAACACCTACTGGTTTTTCCATTTTCAAGGGCAATATATTCAGGATAGCACTAACTATTAAAGGTACAGTTGGGGGGGATTTAAGGTAACAGGAAATTGGTAATGGTTGTGAGAGGAAAGAATATTCAAAACCACCATATAGAGAGTCACAAGTATCTTCTCATAATCTAAGTGTCCCATATTGGGAGGACGAGGGAGAGGAATAATGATGGGAGATAGAATCCTGTTGGCAAAACACTACATCCTGTTTCTTTCATGTGCATCTTTCCTTTTTTGTGGTGAATATGTCCACTAAAATTTGCCTTTCTAAAATTTCTTACAGTGAAGTGTGCCACAAGCAAACCAGCTTTCTTTGCTGAGAAGCTTCATCATGCCATGAAGGTAGGTACCATGTACTTATCTGCTTTGCTTAGAGGAAGAATTATCTGTAGAGAGGACAGAAAATTTTATATTGATTGAGAGTCACATGTTTAATATCTTCCCATTAAAGAGCATCATTGTTCTATTCAATGCAAGAGGTAATGCACAACCTTATTAGAATAAACTTCTGTTAAATTGAGTGCATTTTATTTTATAGGTGAGTGATAAAGTGAGCCTTTATGTGATTTATGGCTTACTTGTGATTTGCTTAAAACCTGAGTCACCACAGGAAGGGTGACATACTTTCTCTTTTAATGTGTGATTTTACTAGCCTACTTCCGCTAACTTTGTGTTTTATAATCTTCCACTTTCTGAGTTTCCCTTGTCTGTATTATTATTCTGTCGTTCATGCCATAGATTAATAGTTAAATCTTTTAAAATGTCATTCTATGATTAGGGAAGTAGACATTGTTATTAAGATTTATTTGAGATACACCTTCAACTATTTCACTTTAACTTTACTGTCTAACACACATGATATTATATGGGATACCGCTTCTATATTTATATTTTGAGCCCCCAAATGAATAGTTATAATGTTATCTTTGTTTTGTCTTTGGAACTCCAAAGCAAAAAGGTTTTTACAGAAAGAGAGGTCTAACTATTCAAATAATATTAAGGGGTCTCTATGAACTGATAAGCATGCTAGGTACTGTGATGTAGTGGTTAACAGAGTTGCTGCCCCACATCTGCTGTTTAATGTGGTATTCAGTTGGTTAATGATGAATACCTGGTACTATGAAAGAGCAAAGAGGGATATGTGCTCCAGACTTTGGAAATCAATGTAGCCTTGCTCACAGCTAAACTAAGATCTAAGTAGAAATGAGCCAGGTGAGGGCCACAGTAGAAGAATGGGGCATAAAGCAATGGTGGTCCAAGAGGAGGAAGCAACAATTACACAGCCTTGATGGCAAAAGGTAACAGGACACTTTCAAGGCAACAAAAATAATTAGTGATGGTGTGCAGTGGAAGAGAATATAAAATTAGGCAGAACACAGTAAGCCCTGATAAAATGATTTGTTTTTATCCTAAGAGCAATAGAAGACTATTAAAATGTTTTAAATAGATTAATTAGATAATCAGATTTACAATTTTGGAAGTTCAATTTATTTGTCATTATTGGATAGTCAGAGGAAAGACTGGATGGCAGGGGACCAATTAGAAGATGGTAAAAGCTCTCTGTACCTACTGCTAAGATAGCAGCTTGTTTCTTGTCATTTTATCACCACTTGTGTAATGTGTGTGTGTTAATATGGAGACAGTTTCTCTACAGAAATCACTTGAAATAGTAAAAAGGGATTCACCTTCAAATATACATTCTTTTATGAGAGTATTTTCTGAATATGAAACACTATCATTTGTTTTGGCCAGGGTGTTGGAACTCGTCATAAGGAATTGATCAGGATCATGGTTTCCCGTTCTGAAATTGACATGAATGATATCAAAGCATACTATCAGAAGATGTATGGTATCTCTCTTTGCCAAGCTATCCTGGTATGTTATGATTTTCATAATGCCATCCCCATAAATGAAAGTTCTATTTGCAATATCTTCAAAGAGAAGAGCTGACTTACAGTATCTGTAAATTTTATATGTAAGATGAATTCAATGTATTAAGGTATATACTTCATTAGTAAATTGAGCTTTCACTAGTGAAATCTAACTAGTGAGTGCTCTAACAAACTACTAGGTACATTTTTCAACCAAAGTCATGGAAATGTTTGGTTTTCTATGCATATATGTATCAATCAAAATATTTTAGAGTTTCTGCTAATGTGGATAGGTATTATGGTTTATTTTCTAATATGTTATTCAGAAGGTAAGAAACATTATTCAAAATATTTATCTTAATTTTATCATATGCAAATTGTTTAAAATTCAAGTATCTCATTCGAATGTTGAAGAATGAGACAGAAAGAAAAGTCAACTGTTTTAAATGAATTGAAAGATAACTACTTAAATTCAATTCATTATTCACATTGGGTATTCTCACTAAAAGTGAGAAAAATCACACGCCTATATCTTTGTTTCTTATTAGTGAATCAGGCATTTCCTCATGTGTGATATAAGATTCTAGTACACTTATTCAGTTCTGTGTGGTATTTCATTCTTAGAAAATAATGAAACTAACATAAAAGATAATTAATTAATAGAAATTTATAGTCTGAATCTTGAAAGCTACTGAATTTTATATCACAATCAAGAAATATCAGTTATCTGCTCTCTATATTATTTAATTCAATGAATGGTATATTTATCAAAGAACCCAGGAAATTGATGCACTATAATGTGTATTCTCACCTACAGTTAAGACTACAAATACAATAATTCTTCTATAATTAAAAAAATCTTATATTGATTATAGTTTTGAATAATATTAAGTGTACTTTATTTTTCAATCAACAGGATGAAACTAAGGGAGATTATGAAAAAATCCTGGTGGCTCTTTGTGGAGGAAACTAAACATTCTTTTCATGGTCTCAGGCATTATGATTAGAAGACATTTTTATTATTTTAATTATATCCTTTTTTCTATAACATAGGCTTAATAGGAAAATTTCTTCATCAGGATTATAGTCTAGCTACCTGATTTCTGAAAAATACAGCCTATACATCATTTTTATATCACAACTCCGTATAATAGAGATAAGCTAGTTTTTTTTTAAACACGTTTACCCCAAACCATAAAACCCCATATACAAGTTGTTCTAGTAACATTACTTGAGAAAGATGTCTATATAACTGAAAATAAAACAATGTTATAAGACAATTCATGTGTCATTGGCTCTTCTGTTTTGATTTTCTTTTATGTGTAGCTCTGTGGCTTAATCTGACATCAAGGGACAGGAACTTGAATTCTAAATTACAATTATTTGGTGACTGAATTGAAGAAAATAATTACAGATTTAGAAAATGGACTCTACATTTTATTGCTTAGTTACAGATTATTGAGAGAGTGTCTCTAGATAATAATGAATTTATTGCACTAGTATTATAACAATTTGACATCTGCTGTATTCATGAACCAGTATAAAGATGAAATAACAACATCAGTGAAAAGTCCTCTTGTTTGTTTCATGGTAATTGGACATTTAATCTTTCTAAGAAATTGCCAAATTGTTCTCCAAAATGGTAATACCAATCCACTTTCCCATCATAAATTTAACAGTGGCCAGTTTCCTCCACATCCTTGCCAGCATTTGCCAGTGTTGTCACTAGTTTGTATTTTAGCAGTGTTTATTTTTTTATTGTTGAGTCTAGAGAATTCTTATATATAGTAGATATTAGTCCTTTGTCACATGGGTGATTTGCAAATATTTTCCCTTAGACTGTCAGTTATCTTTTCATCTTCTTAACAGGATTTTTGCAGAGCAAAAGTTGAAAATTTTAATGAAGTCCAATATATTAATTTTTTCCTTTCATAAATTATGCTTTTGATATTATATCTACAAACTCTTCACTGAACCCTAGTTTTCAAAGCTGGTGGTAACTAAGCCATGCCAGATCTTATTTGTCTCCTTAAGAAGCTTAGCCTTTGTCCCTTAATCGCCCCGATTAAAAAAAAAATACCTGAGAGGTATAAATGTCATCTATTAGATATAAATGTATTTATTATCAAAATTTGTGAGAAAAGGAGGAAGAAACAGACTATAGTCTCAGGTTTCATAACAACATATTAAAATTAAACATGGAGCTATGAAAGAAGGTTTTCCCCATACATGAGATATTTCTTTTGGTAAACTGCTGTGTAGGTTCAACTTGTGACAATCCTGTACATAAAATGGTTAAACTCTAGGGAAACTCTTCATTCCTTCCATTTGCCTTTCTAACTGTGTTAAGACATTAGTTCTTCCAAAAAGTCTTCTTTGATACCCCAAATCTGGGTTAGATCTTTCTCCTATGTACTCCCATTATATTGTATTATAATTTCCTGATCAATTGTCCTTATTCTACTCTAGGTTTCCTAAGGGTAGGGAGTGTGTTTGTTATATTCACTTCTATGTGTCCAGTACCTAACCTAGTTCTTGGCAGATAACATACACTTACAATTTTAAGCACATTAATGAATGAACAAACACAGGATGCAGGTAGTCAACAGGTTTGCATTTGCAAAAAACCTTTTTATCCTACCATTTTTTCCTGATGCATGATTTTTTTTCTTTGTAAAGGTCATAAAACATCACTAGTCAAGAAAAGGGAGAGGAAAAAACATTTTATAAATTTTTGCTAAGGGTTTGCTATAATATGGGAACAGAGTAGTACACAGGATGATGACTTGGAAGCCAGAGAGGTGTGAGTTCCAATAAGCGTCCACCACTTATTTAGTGACCCCAAAGATAGTAATTACCTTTTCTAAGCTATAGTTTTTCATCAGTAAAATACTGCTACTACCATTACTACTACTACCACCACTGGCTATATGGAGTTGCTATAATGATTAGATACAATGGAATAAAGGGATTGACACTTAATAGGTACATAAGAAATTAGATGAAAACTTAATATCAAATCAACTAACAAAAGGTGAAAAAAAAATCAATGCTTCTAAATATTAGGTATGTGGTAATTAAATTCAGTTTAAACTAATTCTTAGCCCCAAACTGGAATGACTTTCAAAGATGGAATAGTCTGAGAAGAAATTCTAGTACTGGAGTTTGTGTACTGACTACAGGCTGTGCCAGAAATACAGGAAGAGAAAGGGCTTTTATTATCTGGAAACCAAAATACATTACTGTGGAAATGATCTTTTGCCTTAATTTCAGTGGTGAAGATCTGGGATGTTGACCGAATAGCCAAAGTAGCCTTCCAAATTCTTTCTTTGCCTTCAATGTATACACAATGTGTCTTCTTAAGACTCTGAACACTGACTCAGAGGAGGTCAATGTCTTTATAACCCTGTCCCAGTGTTAAGAAAAGTTATGTGATTCACGGCCCAGCCCAAGCAGTCACTGACTGTAGGCCTTGGCCAAGTTTTTTATGCTCTCTATATCTTGGTTTGCTCATCAGTAAAATAAAGATATTGATGGTCATGATGAAAACTAAATGAGATAATCAGCATCTAGCACACAGAAAGCACTCAGTACATATTAAGGTGTCTTAGCTGCTGCCACTATAAGAAGCTGTAACACATTTCTAACAAAGAAATCTTCCTTTAATATGGATAATGCATTATGAAATGTCCTATAATATCAGAAACATTAGATCATTTTCAGCTACTGCAAAGATAAATGTAATGAGATTTCTCACATGTAATAAGTTATATATTAATACCATATACTTTATATTCTTGTCTCACTGAAGATTATTAAATTTAATAGTGTTAGTCTTTTGTGTAGTAGAAAGCTTATTTATAGACTGTCCTTTTTGGTGAATATGGAACTACAAATGGATCCAATCTAGGAGTAGAAAAAGTGCGAAAAGGAACAGAGCAGAATGCAAAATGTTAGATATGAGAAAAAGAAAAGGAAATGAAAATGCCATGAATATATCTGCATATCAAGAATTTTACTTTTTTTTTTATGCCCCAGCAGTGGAGTCTGTGGAAACTCAAGCTATTCCCTTGGTGAGTCATTCACCAAACAACCCATCTGGAAAGCAGGCTGGTTTTGGCCAGTCTAATGGCAATTGGAAAATTCCAGTTTCTTTCCTCTAACTGGAAACAATTATCGTTGTTTCCATTTTCATGGAGATTGTGACCACTGGAAAGTTTGTGTTGGCAGAATGCAAACCAGCTATTGATTTCAAATGCCTCCGTTTTTATACTTTAAATATCTGTATCCTGGTTTATCTAGCAACCACATATCTTCCTTTTAGATTCTCCACATTCAGTTCTCTACGTCAGTCTTCCTAAATCTCTTACTATAGAAGAAAAATATCAAAGAAGCACTCACAAAACCTATCTACACAGTCATAGAAAAATTGTCTTTTATGTTAAATTTCAAAAGGAAAAAATAAAAAAAAGAAAGAAAATTAGTAATTAACCTGTCAGTAATGGGAAGACAAATTGAAGTCATATTTGAAAGGATAAAAAAATATGGTCGAGCATGGCTACATAACTTGTGGGGCCAGTGAAAAATGAAAATGTGGTGGTGCTTGTTCAAAAGTTACTAAGAATTTCAAGAAGACGAGAACAGACCATTAAAGCAAATATGAGGCTCTTGTGAGTGTGGAGCTTTGTGTGGCTTCACAGGTTGTATACAAAGATAGGCCTGAATACAGCTTCTTTATTTTGTCTACGATTAATATATTCAACTTCACGAATCCTTATACTCAGCTTAAAGAAGGGAGATGTTAACTTTTAGTGCCATCTGGTTGTGACTATTAGTCTGTTCTGATCATTTACTCTTAAATACTACTCTATTTGTCTAGAAAAATAGAGCTTAGTCTCTCAAATTTCTCTTCTACCTCTTCCTCCTCTGGCTACTCTAATTAATTCTTGAGTGTATTAGGGAGAACTTCATTGTAGAATATAAAAATTGAGGTCTCTGGCTTAGTGTCCTCCATTCCTTCTGTTTGCTGGTTAACATCTTTTGCTCTTATGGGGAATACTTGACACTGGAGGCCAAAGTCTGCAGCTGGTTAACTGGCATGTGAGAGGCTGCCATTCCTTCAGACAGGGACTGTCATTATTGGATTTTAAACAAGGTAGGCATCTTAGTCTGTGTTGCTATGAAATAATACCTGAAGGTGGGTAATTTATCAAGAAAGGAGACTTGTTTAACTCATGGTTAACTCATGTGCAAGAGCCATGGTGCTAGCATCTGTTTCTGGTGAGGGCTTCAGGGTGTCTTTACTCATGGTGGAAGGTGAAGCGGAGCCGTGTGTGCAGAAATCACATGGCAAGAGACAAAAAGCAAGAGAGAGAAGGGAGGAGGTGCCAGAGTTTTTTTTTTTTTTTTTCAACAATCAGTCCTCCCAGGAACTATCGTGTTTCCCCGAAAATAACAGGATCTTATATTTACTTTTCCTCAAGAAGACACTCTAGGGATTATTTTTAGGGGATGTGTTATTTTTTTTAAAGTACAGTGCAACAATCTATATTTATTCAAATACAGTTAAGTCGTTTTCTCCTGGAACATCATCCTAACTCTCCAAACCCTGAATTCCATCCTGAATTTCTTCAACTCCTTTAGAACCATTGGCCCCAATCTCTGATGTCGAGCAATAGAGCTCTCATGGAGCAGATGAGAAGGGCTGCTCATCTTCTTTAGCGCTCTGCGATGAAATGCAGGGGTTGTGCAGATATGCTGCGCAGCCACACCCATCGGTAGGTTTTACTTTCAGGGTAGGGCTTATGTTGTGCAAATGCTTAGAAATCCTGCTAGTGTTTATTTTATGGGTAGCTCTTATTTTGGGGGAAACATGGTAATAGACTGAGAACTCACTCATTACTGTGAAGACATGACCAAACCATTCATGAGGAAGCTACTCCCATAATCCAAACACCTGCCATTAGGTCCCACCTCCAACATTGGGGATCAAATTTCAACATGAGATTTGGACGGGGCCAGATATCCAAACCATAGTAGAACACGAAGTTAATTTTTCTTCTAGCCTGTGAAAACGTTGGAGAGAGACCAGATTAACCATAGACAAAATAAAGGGTCTGTATACTTGCTCTACATATAAGCTGTGATCCTTAAGAACTTTTGACCTAGTCATGTATGATAGTTTTTCAAGATTTTTTTTAATTTACAAGTCTTGATTTATGTTTTATGAAAATTTATGAATTTTATGAAAAATTTCTGAGACAAAAAAATCAAAAAAACC